CCATTTTGCGTCCTTTTGAGGCTCAAAGCGATAACCATGGCAGCATTTCTCGCAAGACGGCTTATCGGTAACCAATCGAGCCAGATTCTCGGTACTTCGAATTCTACCTCCGGTGCCCTCATTTCCGTCTCTAGGGCTTTCTCCTCCTCCACCACTCCGATCAAAGCAACTCTCTTCCCTGGCGATGGGATCGGTCCCGAGATCGCTGAATCTGTCAAACAGGTCACTAATTTCAATCTGCTTTCCTCTTTTTTCTCGTTCATGTGTATTGTGGAAACAAGAGATGTCATCGTTGCTTGTTATAAGATTTACGAGTTTGATCGCGTTTCGATTACTGAGCTACGCATATCGATGCTTAATACTTGTGGTGTGATGGTTTTGATATCTGAGTTCTGGAATTCAGAATTTTGTTATGTCTCTGAATATGTTTGCCCTTTATGGTGATTCAGGTGTTTACTGCAGCTGATGTGGCCATCGATTGGGACGAACACTATGTTAGTACTGAAATAGATCCTAGAACCAATAGTTTCTTGACATGGGAAAGTCTACAATCTGTGCTTGATAACAAGGTTGGGTTAAAAGGACCAATGGCGACGCCGATTGGAAAGGGTCACCGTTCTTTGAACCTTACTCTTAGGAAAGAGCTGAATTTGTATGCTAATGTTAGGCCTTGCTATAGTCTTCCTGGTTACAAAACCCGTTATGACGACGTTGATCTTATTACCATCCGTGAGAACACGGAAGGAGAGTACAGTGGGCTTGAGCACCAGGTTAGTTTGTTGTTCTGTCATTTGAGTAAATCTATGTTTAGTATCCTTTTAAGTCTATGTTGATAACTTGTCATTTTGATTTGATAGGTTGTTAAGGGTGTGGTGGAAAGTATTAAAATTATTACCCGTAAGGCGAGTATGAGGGTTGCAGAGTATGCCTTTCTCTATGCCAAGACTCACGGAAGGAAGAAAGTTTCTGCAATTCACAAAGCCAACATTATGCAGAAAACTGATGGTCTTTTCCTGCAGGTCTGCTCATTTTGGAACTTTTAAATTACATTAGCACTTCTCAATAAAAGGAAGAAAAGGATTTTTTTCTAGTGTCTTTTTGGCTTCTTTTTCTTAATCCTCTGTTCTGAGACAAGGTTTCATTTGCTTCCTGTTTTTCAGTGTTGTGATGAGGTTGCTGAGAAGTATCCTGAGATAGAATACGAGAAGGTTGTTATTGACAATTGCTGTATGATGGTAAGCTTAATCCCGACAGCTTGTGAAAGTATGTGATTGTGGAATACGTGATTGATAATCTTAATTCTGGCAGCTTGTGAAAAACCCAGCACTTTTTGATGTTTTGGTGATGCCGAATCTCTATGGAGATATTATCAGTGATCTGTGTGCTGGATTGGTTGGGGGACTAGGATTGACTCCAAGGTAACTTTTGTTCCTCCATCTCTCAAAATATAGTTTATTATGCCATTGGAGCAATTATCTTAAGTCCTTATAATGATTTTGATGCAGTTGTAACATCGGGGAGGATGGTATTGCCCTTGCTGAAGCTGTTCATGGTTCTGCACCTGACATTGCTGGAAAGGTTAGTCCTCAACACACTTGATCATCATTCTCAGATGCTGTTGTCGTTGTCATTCTATTGTATGATACATTTAGTTGCTGGCATCGTCATGCGGTTTAGAAAATGCATAACAACTTTTGACCAATGCAACTGAACTCAGTCTGACTGTACCTTAAAACAAAGTATCATATAGACTGGCTCATGAGAGAAGATTCTTTAGAATTTTGACCGAAATGTGTCTGGCTTTGTTTTCGGGTCTGGTTTCATTGGATCATCGTCCTTGTAATGCTTCAATGATGTTAATAACTGGCCAACCTAATATTAAGGGTTAACGAGGTCTAATCTATACATCATGTTAAAACATTTATGCACAATGGATTTAGATATTATGAGTCCAATGTTCGAAACCAGAACTTGATTCAATTATTAGCTTATGATCCAAAATGTCTGTTTTTCTTTGGCGGTGTTGTATAGAACCTGGCGAATCCGACAGCTTTGCTTCTGAGTGGAGTGATGATGTTGCGGCACCTGAAGCTCAACAAACAAGCAGAGCAAATCCACAGCGCCATCATCAACACAATAGCCGAGGGAAAGTATAGAACCGCTGATCTAGGAGGTACCTCAACCACAACAGAGTTTACAAAAGCCATCTGCGATCACCTCTGAAACACCCGTAAAACACTAATTCTTTCTGTACTTACTCATTCACCATTGGATCTACCTCGGGGCTTTACCCTCCAGAAAA